CAAAAACAGTGAATTGTCCAATACGATCGATTCAATTGTCATTAGTACCACATTACACTAGACCAACATATGGAGTTTGCACTTTTCGTAGACAATGACATAGTTCGCAATCAATGACCAAAATGGCGGCTCCAGTGTCCACGAGTGCGTCAACCGAAATGCCTCCTACACAAAGTCAGTAAACTTGCAGGGTGCGCCGCAGGAATTGTGACACTTCGACGACACGCAGTTTCTCCTCCAAAAACTACAGCTTCTATATTTCTGAGTGGCTGTCGAGGGGCATCAGCGCATAACGTAAAGGCGAAGTAGTACGGCGGAAGGGCGATGGTGAACGATGGCGGGGTGGGCGTTAAGAACGAGGGTCACTGTGGGACAAAGGAGGTGAAGGCGAACGTCGTGATGAGGGAATGTAGGTTCCTGAAACGTAGGGGTTGGACCTCGGAGCACGGTCACTCTTGTACGAAGAATAACCTCGTTGTTCATTTTGCTGGCGCCGGCGGCAAAAGCGGGAGATGTGACCTCGTATACCACAGTAGCAACAGACTGGGCGCGTAGGGTGCCAGGCAGGGAAGTGTGGTTGTAGTGGTGTCTTGGCTGCCATCGCGGCCAAATCGTCGTATACGTCATCCGCAGGTACAGGTGGAGTTGGTGGAGGAGGCCGTGAGAAGACTTCGGCATACGCAGGCACATGTAGGGCGCAGGGGGTGGGGCCCGTGCGGCACTCGTAATTGACGTTAATTCATCCTTGATGATTTCCCGCAAGCTAGGAAGAGGCGAGCGGACAAATGATGTAGGTACGCTGGCAGGAACAAGGCTGTGAAGTTCCTCTCTCACTATGGTGCGAATTAGAGCCCGCCGCTCATGCTCTCCAGTAAGACGAATGTCACAGGAGGCCTGTGGAAGGTGAATGGAATAAAGCGCGTCTGGACGTTGGCACATAGTAATGACGTCTTCAATTGTATTGAGGGACTGAATGACGAGGGCATTGAAAGCGACAGAGTTAACGCCTTTCAGTAGGTGACGGATGTAGTGAGCCTCCGTCATGTCACTTTGGACTCGGCGGCAGAGAGCGAGCACGTCTTCAATAGGATTCGTGTGGGCCTTGAATTCGGGTGGCGAGTTTCTGTTTGGCCGCTTCAGAGCATCCTGCTGACGTGCCGAAAATTTGCCGGAGTCACACCTTGAATGCATTCCAATCGGGAAAGTCACGTTCATGGTTGTGTAACCATGCCTCAGCGAACTCCTTGAGGTAGAAGGTGACGTAGCGAAGTTTGTCAGCCTCGTCGTAATGATTACAAGCGCTTCTTCTGTCGTAATTATCCAGCCACTCTTCGACATGATCTCCGCGACGGCCGTAAAATACCGGAGAGTCTCGTCGTGGTGTACTCATGGTGTAGTGAGGCCCAGCAGGCTGAGCGGGTGGTGCGAAGAAGGCGGCAGGGGGTGGGTCGTTTTGCGCCATCACTGTTGGCAAGCACAGACGTCGACCAGACCGGAGCTCCAGGGGTCACCAGTAGAGCATGAGGAGTTTGTAATCACAGCATGCTCCACCACTTGTGAGTCGACGTCAGGTACGAAGGAGCGACCAATATATATATATATATATATATATATATATATATATATATATATATATATATATATATATATATATATATATATATATATATATATATATATATATATATATATATATATATATATATATATATATATAGATAGTATAATATATATATATATATATATTATATATATATATATATATATATATAGATATATATATATACTGGCGATAGTAACCACACTTGGTTCGCTTAAATCTACGACAACAAAAACACCAGACACCAGACCTTCGCGGTAGTTACAGCACCGTTACAGCGAAAGCTAGAAGATAGGCCTGAGCCTTCTAAAACACTCATCGGGTAACTAGTGCAAGCACACTTGCTTGGTATGGTACCCACTAGGGCATTGTTAATAAGCTTTTCGGTAGTAGGCCGGCATTCGCTATGCTATTTTTCGTCGTTCTTATGAGATGCGTCGTATCCGGTAAACACTTTCAAGCAATTTTGCGCCAATTGTCCATGCAGTAGCTGATGACGATGAGGAATTAAGGCTAAAGTGGGTATGCGCCAAAGTTAATAGGGAAAAAAAGAGCAAGATTGTGTAATGTGTTAAAGCACTGGACGGCCCACTCGTTACACTGTTCGCATTGTGCGACGACTGGTTGTTATTTCGCTGTTCTAAAATGCTTTATAAATTGTATTAACGCGATTGCTTTCCCGACATCAAGCCTGCCTAAGGCAAGTTTGACAACAACTCACAAGCACTGGTGTAGCTCAGTGGTAGAATACTGGGCTGGCACTCAGCAGACCAAAGTTCTAGTCCGACTCTGCCATTGGTGCTAGGTCATGCCTGCCTAAGGCAAGTTTGACGAGTTACAAGCACCGGCGTAACTCAGTGGTAGAATATTGGGCTGGTACCAAGCAAACCCGGGTTCAAGCCCCACTGTGTCATTGGTGCAAGGTTTTTTTCCGATTTCGCGCGATGTGGTTACGGACACCAGTGGCGGCGGACAACATGAAACTGTACGTGACCCGAAAAGTTATCTCATAACAGCTTTCGCTGTAAAATCTGTCATTGTAAAAGGAGCGCCGAGAATCAATGCTATACGCTGAGATGCGCAAGGCGAACGACTGATTCATCGCGCATTAGCTTTCCTCGGTGAATGTATTCAACGACGCTCCGTCGAGCCTCCCTCCGACATTTAAATGCAGACAACTGTCACATTGAACACAGCCTTCGTGAAAGAGAATTCGTGCTGCCTACAACATTGTCATCGTTCTCCTCTCTGCGGCGTCCGAAATACGCTCTAAAAGCGCTCTGCTCCAGTGGTATGCGCCGCAAAACCTACCAAGCGTGAAAGCTGCGCGAGAGTTCAGTGAGACGAAGCGCCGTGCAGATTACGCGTTCCGCTGCCGACTGCGCGCTGTCGCAGTTTCGTGAACGCATGAATGAGTTCGATCTCCAGTCGCAGTGGTGGGCGAAGTTTTCTATTTCTTCATCATTTCCTGAGGGTAAAGCTGGGGATGGAGAATTTTTAAACGGAATTGTTCGCCTGACGGCGGTGACTAAACAAAAGCGAAGCAGGGATACACGAAAAGAATGAACGTACACAGACGCTAAAAAAAAATAGGCTAACTTAGGCCTATCAAACACAGCCCTATGCTGAGCAAAGAAAGGAATTGGAGCAGGTGCTTTTTTTTTTAAATGCGAAGAATTGCTTAGTGACTTTGGCAACTTTGGCCGTATTTATATACCTATGTAGCCGCCTAAGACATTTAGCTCTCCTGGCCGTTTCGGTAATAGCATCTATACCAAAATTGGTATGGCATAACATGACTGTATGACGAGCATAAGTAACTAGTAATAACTTGAAATCTATGATATGTATATCTTGAAATTCATGATTTACCTTTCATTGTCGTGCTGCTTTTGTGGTGATTTCATTCACATAACATGTTGCAAATCTAGTATGGTATTAGATGACTGCATGATGAACATAACTGAAAGACTCTGACGTGTAAATCATGACAAGAATGTCATTTACGTCATGATTACACGCTACGTTCATGGTGCGCTCATGGTCGTTTCACTAGCTTCACGTATACCCCGTTTCGTATTACAGGACGTGAAAACATGACGAATGTAATGGCTGGTGCAAACACGATAATCACGAGATGCGTGTTATGTAAAACATGACTACAGGCAACGATCATAGTGCACTCGCGCTCGTTTCGCTAGCTTCACGTATACCCAATTCAGTGTTACGTGACGTCCATGAGGTAGGTAGGTAGAAACCTTGAGACTTACAAAGAGGGTTCTGCTTAAATTATGGACGACGCAACGACCAATGGAAAGAAAACAGTAGGTGTAACGCTAAGAGACAAGAAGAGTGCAGAGGGGATTAGGGAAGAAACGGGGGTTAAGGATATCATAGTTGAAATCAAGAAGAGGAAATGGACATGGGCCGGGCATGTAGCGCGTAGACAGGATAATGGCTGGTCATTAAGGGTAACTAACTGGATTCCCAGAGAAGGCAAGTGGGTTAGGGGGAGACAGAAGGTTAGGTGGGCGGATGAGATTAAGAAGTTTGCGGGTATAAATTGGCCGCAGCAAGCACAGGGCCGAGTTGACTGGCGAGACATGGGAGAGGTTTTTGTCCTGCAGTGGACGTAGTCAGGCTGATGATGATGATGATGATGATGATGATGACGACGATGATGATGATGATGATGACGTACATGAATGACGAAGGTATACTACTGGTGCAAACATGATACTCGTGAAATGCGTGTCATGTATAGGAACGTGACATGATACCATGCCTATGATGTGCTCGTGGCCGTTTCGCTAGCTTCACATATACCAAAAATGGCGTTACGTGATGTGAATGGACGACGAAGGTAAATGAGACGTCCAAACATGATATATATAGATATACGTGTCATGTAAAACATGACTACATTATACGTTCGTAGCGTGCTCGCGGCCGCATATACCAAATTTGGCAACACGTGACGTGAATAGAAGGCGAAGGTAAATGACACGTTCCAACATGATAATCATAACGTGAGTGTCATATAAAACTTGACTACATGCTGCGCTTATTGCGTGCTCGTGGCCGTTTCACTAGCGTCTCATATACCAAATTTCATATTGCGTGACTTGAATAGACGATACACACAAATGTCAGGCGCAAACATAATAATCTTTACATGAAAGTCATCTACGGCGTAATTTTCGTCCACCTCAAGACGTTTTGTAGATTTTAAAATGACATAACAAACTTCGTCATTCCTGCCCCGCATATCATCGATTCCCACTGTACGTGGGATCTGCCAATTTTTCCTGCACCTATGCTTCAGTCTCCGCTTCTTCTCTAAGCTTTGTGGGCCGCCACAACCCCAGCTATACATATACAAGTACTGACCACCCCATACCTTTGGCGCAACTCTTGCTTGCTTCACGTAAACGTTGAGAATAGACATATTTATCTTCTCGGCTGAATAGAGCCAGAAGGAGAAGTTGCACTCGGGCCCCGATTCTCTGAAAATCTTGGAATGGAGTTGCGCTCGTCCACCAGAAGAATCTTTCTGAAGGCTCATGTCTGGGCGCATGTAATGACCTGAGTGGGTGGGAGAAAGGTTGACAAAAAGTGTGTGAATCCTATTTTACGGTAAGACGAGACAATGGCAGAGCGTAGCAACAGTGTGAGACAAGTAAACGTTGGGAGTTGAGCCATACTTTCGAGATATTCACGCGACTGGCTACGCATAATACAACAAAAACAAAGGTGAACCAACCTCAATATAACAGCTGTAAACAGCGAATGACATAACAGACAAATTATTTTGCTTAATGAAGCAATGTAACGTAATCTTAACGAAAGAATCTCTTCAGTATATTTAAAACAAACGCACTTTTTCCGCTGTTCCTGGATAGTTAGCACATGGTTTAATTGGTTTAGAGGGAATATAATCGCAACAGTTTCATATCGATGCTGCGAAAACATTGATTCGACAGGTAGTACTCTAAAAGTTCATTTGCTATGCTTATGGCCATGATAATTCAAGTAAATGCAACGCAGAAAGAGAACACGAAGCAGAACAGAACCACAAATTACGGTTTAATTTATTTACAAATACTTGGAATTGTTTATATTTCTACAATCATGGTAAAGCATACCAGAGGTACAGCAAGTCATTGCAGTATCATTTTATGACTACTGCGAAGTAAAATATAGTTCATATCAGCACGAGGGCCAACATGTCCTATTCATGTTGGAGTCATTTATGATACAAACAAGAAAGAAGTTCGGGAAAAAGCGGATATTTGAAGTGATGAAAAATTATTCAATGGAAAAGACTGCAGTTATGATTTCGACTGAAGGACCTGTCTTCGTAAGGTCAGAGCTAGCGAAGGTAGGTCCACTTGTTGGAACGTTGACTCCAGTGGCATTCCCTCTCCTGCAGGAGTTTATGATGCCGTCTGTCAATGCATTTAACGAGGACTATGACAAACGAGCAATTGCACAGCTATTTTCTTACCCTTCATAGTTCCTAAGGTGTGATCGCCAGTGTCATCTCGAGCTCTCTGCCACTTATCTTTTTCGGACAACGAGCTGAACCAGCCGCAAAGGTCCTTCTCGAAGTTGCAGCTTGCTCCTGAAAAAAAAATAGTATTTATTTTTTGTGTTTAAGCTACTGTCAAATTTAGGGGTATGTCATGATTACGTACTACTTACACTTTAAGTGCTACGATAACTTTTTCCTACCATTTTCAAAAGAGCAAACGACAAAACTTTGCTACCAGCACGTTAACTTTTGTAAATAGAGTTTCCTAAGAGAACTAATGATAAATATGCGCCAGGCTTGAAAGGTTGCAATATCTTCACTTTATTCGTAAGAATTAACTAGAGCAGAAAGACCAGGAACAAAATACGAGACAATAAACGCAATTGATAAACCAATGAGCACTATTTGTTAATATATAATTTTTTAAACCTAGAAACACTGCTCCTAGTGGGAAAACACCTACACAATTGAGCTCCCTGAAACAGCGGAGCCCCCGAGTAGAAAGACGTAAATAGTGAATGAAATTTCGCCGTCGAGAAAAGCAAGACCGTTGTATGCAAAATTATGACCTTTGAAGCGACAGTTCCTAAAACCCCTGGAATCACATGTCTCAATTAGAATGACATTTTGAATGCAAGTTTAATTGAAAAAAAGGTTTCAAAAAAACGCCTAAAACTCTACTTTCTATATTAAAATAAGAATCATCAATGATATTTTGTTTTGTTTGAGCACTACATACGCCCGCCTACTTAACCTAACTTACTTCTAACTTATAAAATTTTCTAAATGTGCCACAGTTATATCCTATCAAAAGTGTTCGGTGTCGTACCTGTTGAGAGGGCATGATGCCTGAAGTGAAGAATAAACTGTGAGCTCGGCAACCTGAACTAACGCACAACTACCGACTGAAGAATGGAGAAGCAAAGAAATAGGCATTGATTCATGTCGGTTTGAAGTAAAATTAGTGCAGCAATATTCGCAAGTTTTTTTTCCTTTTCACATGTACCATGAAAATTTCTGACATAAGCTTTTTATTCCATCACTCTTTTTTTCACCGTCATAACAACTGATACGCTGAGGAAAATTTTGCGGACCGTGGGAGCACATGTCAAACAGCACCACTGCTCCTTCTGACGACTGCCTGCGAAGCTCAAGAGCGCGCACTGCACACACGCCCCTGGTTTGTATCCCGGCTGCAGCGGCTGCATTTCCGATGGAGGCGGAAATGTTGTAGGCCCTTGTGCTCAGATTTAAGTGCACGTTAAAGAACCCCAGGTGTTCAAAATTTCCGGAGCCCTCCACTACGGCGTCTCTCACAATCATATGGTAATTTTGGGACGTTAAACCCCACATATCAATCAATGCACACACGCGCCTTTTTTTACCTACCAGCCTGCTCGTTCGCTCTCTTCAACAGCGTGCGCAGCGGGACGCTGGAAAAAGCGCAAGGTGTCACTTCAGTGGTCACCGCTTAAACCCTGACAGAAAGGTCCATTTCCGAAACACCGATGCCGTATGCACGTTTTCGGCGCAGTGGAGCGTCTGGGACTAAGGCTCATAATGCACCGCGCAATATGTTTTATCAGTACTAATCACGGTACAAAATATGTGATGACGTGACAGCGTTAAAGAGCTCGTATCTTCGAAATTTTGGCGTCGGTTTCAGGGTCGTTGGTTCAGAGCGAAAAATCATCATTTTATGCGTGACCAAAATTGAGAACGATGCAAATAAAATACGTAATTGATAAAATGAATTTGAAGCAGAGTGGGGACCAAACCAGGGTTGTTTTGGCCCACGTGGGGATTGACCCCTGGTCGTTTGCGTGGCAAGCGAACGCTCTACCACATGGTCATGGCTCTGCATGTGAGAACAGTAAATTGTCTTCCTCTGCCTAGAAATGCAGTGAAAGGAGCTTTCATGATTCAAAAACACACGCGTCGTGCGCACATGCTTAAGAATGCAACATGTAATATTGCAGTAATGATGCGTGGTACATGTGTTCATTGCCAACGGGCGTCAGAATATGTGATTATCACAATGGCTCCGTGGTTCAAAGCCGGTACCACACTACAAATGCCACACACGCTACGGCACCTATTTTCTTAGCGCCACGTAGTGGTGCACAGCGAATTCGAAACGGTTTCATACATAAAGTGCTTGAAGTACGTGTAAGAGACAGGACGTCGCTACCGCGTTCAACTCCCAAAGGCGAAGCTTTATGGTCCCCTAATTTTTCTTGTCACGTTATCATCTCTCGGTGTTTCCGCGGTGACAGTAGGAGGAACCCCTTGCACTTCTAGCGTTCCGGTGCGAGTGCTCTTCAAGAGACCAAACGAGCAGGTTGACAGGTCAAAAAGCACACGTGTTCGCATCACGCTCCCTCGACCTTCGCAGGCAGCCGTCAAAAGGTGCCTGAGTGCTGTTCGACGTGCACTCCCCTGGTCCGCAATATTTTGACCGCCACTGTACCTAGTATTGGATTACTTTTAGACATGTGAGGTTGAAAGTCCCAAAACCATTATATGAATATGAGAGATGCCGTAGTAGAGGGCTCCAAAAATTTCCAGCACCTATGGGGTTCTTTAACGTGCACTCAAATCTGAGCACACGGGCATACAATATTTTCCACCTCCATTGGAAATGCAGCCGCCGCAGCCGGGATTGGATCCCGCGACCTGCGGGTCAGCAGCCGAGTACCTTAGCCACTAGACCACCGTGGCGTGGCATTGGATTTCGTTTGTATCAGTTTATATGAGACATTGAGTGAAATCTAGGATGTGGTCTTTTTTTTTTCAAAATCGCTCTATGAAATTCGTATACATTGAAAGCATTTCCTGCTTTTAGACCACCTATTCTTGCCCATTCCTTGTGTTTATTTTGACGATATAGTGCTATTTTTTATTATACTGTATTACCAACGCAGCTGTTTCTTTCTATTAGTATAGTGATAACACAATTATTGAAGCTACAATAAATTTTACAGAAACTTTATTCTTGGCCACTAGAATGTTGTGAACATGCAAAGTGGCTGTGCTCAGTTGCTTTTAAATGGGGTTGCATTTCAATGCCCACTGAACGAGAAAATTTCGTATTACCATATGTCCGTGGCTTTGTCGTAAGACGAGCCAATATAAAAAAAGTGTATGAAACAGAGTAAATTCTCTTGGCGGTGCAGAATTTAGAAACTAGAGCGTCACCCTCAGAACGAGTGCGTCTCCCCATTGCGCTCTACACACGCCCTTGCAGAATGTGACGACTCAATTTGAACGGTATGGCAAAGAAACAGGACACAAGGAGACAACAAAAAGGCACTCACAAAGTTACACGTCTAACAAACCCTTCATTATCGGGCACCACAATGTTCTTATGCACATTTGCTCACCGCTGCAAATAACACGTTGAGGAACACGAAGGCTAGTTCATCAGTACATTCTTAGACCCTATTCATACATGGAAAACACGTCAGATAACGATCAGGCATATTCACTTCACTATTCAACATATTCGCAGGTATTCCATGCATATTTAGCGTCTGAAGTATTGCTGAAAAAGTACTATTTGTGCTCCTCCACGTCTAAATTTCCGTGGTGTGCAAAAAGTCTAAAGGAGCGGCACGGGGCCCGATGACAAAAAATTTCTTCAAAATGTACCACTGTGTCTTTGTTGCTTTGTCCTGTTTCTTTGCGCCAGCATTGTTATAAATATACGCCATAAGAACAAGCTCGCTTTTAAACTTTATGTTATATATCTAAAACATACAAATGCATTGGACCGGCCAATAAGAAAGAGTACACGGAAAACACTTTCTATGGAGGTGTTGTGCATCTTAACGAAATAGAACACCTCTGCATGACAAGATCTGTATGCAATATCGGAGTTTGTTAGGTCGCAAAATTTTGAATACGCAAAAAGTTAATGCCTACTCTAAGTTTCGACGACCGTGGTATGGGCCTTTCATTAAGCCCTTCCAGGTGCTGGCGAAAGGTACAAGTGAAAAGACAGACACCATGCCAGTACGACGCGACAACAATGTTTCCGTGAAGACCATAACTATAAACGGCTCTACTACAAAACTCTACGCTTGCGTTAACGATTAACTGTTCACCGGGGCCTAGACATCATAAAAACTAGAATCGAATCTTTTTTGGGAAGTGTTTTTAGATGGAGCTCTTAAATCTCTTCATTTTGGCAGGCGTGTATTGTTTTTCCTTTTTGTCAAGCCTCTTCCAGACCAGACAATTCATCTTCAAACCATCAATTTTATTAATATTCTTCCCGTCGTTTATTCTTGAGATCGCCACTTTGAACTATGCGAATTCACACAGTGGCATGCAGTTTTTGACATACCGCAGTCATTCTCGTCCGTGGCATCTTTGCAGTTGGCAATAAAGTCGCATCGCTGCGCAGGCAAGTAGCAGCCCTCGTCGTTGCAAGGAATACGATCCGGGCCACATCCCGGGATTGGGTTTGTTTCATTCGCCGGGACTTTTCCAGGCAGTTCATCTGTAACATTAACCAAAAAAATTGTTTGTTGTTCTTGCTTCATGCTTATGATTGAAGTGTAAGACAATACAACAATTTGCAGGCCTATTATTCGGTGAATACAATAATTTCTGTACTTGCCACCACATTCAGTTTTGTTTTTTGTTTTGATATATAGCTTTCTCTTCCAAATATTTGTCTGTGCTTCCTTTACTGAGTGCTTTTTTAGTTACATTTTATTTCCGTGGCCAGTGACAAGGTGGCTTATGCACACAAGAGACCGTGATTCTAAGCCATTTCGCAAATCACATTTGATAGGACGGAAACAAAGAGAGATGGGACGAGAACAAAGTAAATATGGAACGTACTTTCCGCTCTTCTACAGCCGTCGGTCAAGGTGATGTCGTCTAAGGCGACACCTTGTGTCACGTTGACACTGTACACGGCTTCTATAACAACCTGAAATAAAAAAAAACATGTAGCAAGTGACTTTACTCACTTTCACACGTATCACAAAATTATTTCTGTTCTCAATCTATCTAACAAGATTGAACATGGTAAGCGATGGCCATTACGATTACTAAACAAGAGATCTAATATTAGGCCTACTAAGAGAAACGTTTCATAACGTGGCGTGCTATGGCTTGCTCATACTGAACAAGATGGTAGTAACTGGCGAGAAAATGCTAAATTTGCCATGGAACCCGTGTACGTTGTCGCAACTCAAGACAACACTAGGAGCTATTTTCGAAATTCATCAATGGTGGTAAACTGTTTTCGGCCACCACAGCGCCAGTTATAAGATTTGCTGCATTTCATACATAAAGCGCAAATATGGTAGCTGATGTGATTCTAACTTCACTTTGAGCTATAAAATATTTTAAAATGCTCCTGAAGCCACAAATCGTTATGAAAATATAGCATGAACTCTGCCAGATTAATGAGCTTAGACTACCCCCACTGATGTTTATTCAGCAAACAAGAAACATATGTAATATATACCACTTGAACTGGCTAGCATAGCCTTATTTCGCAGCTAAAAAAGACGATGGCGAGAGATGACACACGTGACACTGGTGATCATCGAATTTTTGTGGAAAGACTTGTTCCTGAATTCACGATATCCAGATCCTGGGTAAGAGTAAAGATACATTGCCTCGAGAACTTTCAAAAGCCTTTTCAATGCGAAGAATTTCTTAGCAAACTTCGGCGAGTTTGTCCGTATCTTCCTATCTATCTATCTAGCCACCTACGACTTTTAGCTCTCCAGCCGTTTGGATTATGGGATCTATACAAAAATTGGTATGGCATAACATGACTGGACGACGAGCATAAGTGAATAGTTATAACATGAAAATCATGATATGTGTGTTATGAATGTCATGATTTGCATGCCCCGCCGCGGTGGTCTAGTGGCTAAGGTACTCGGCTGCTGACCCGCAGGTCGCGGAATCAAATCCCGGCTGTGGCGGCTGCATTTTCGATGGAGGCGGAAATGTTGTAGGCCCATGTGCTCAGATTTGGGCGCGCGTTAAAAAACCCCAGGTGGTCGAAATTTCCGGAGCCCTCCACTACGGCGTCTCTCATAATCATATGGTGATTTTAGGACGTTAAACCCCACAAATCAATCATGATTTGCATGTCAGGGTTTTGCACCTCGAGCGCTAGTTTCTATCACATGCATATCACATAATGGCATGGGTGACATTAAGGCAGGACAAACGGGCCCTGACGTGCAAATCATAACATGCGTGTCATGTAACAGAAATACTACATACCACGTTCATGATGCGCTCGCGGTCTTTTCTCTGGCTTCACATACACCAGATTTGGTGTTACGAGACGTGGAGGCATGACGAAGGTATATGACTGGTGTGAACATGATAATCATGAATGGCGTGTCATATAAGAACATGATTACATACCACGCTCATGATGCGCTCACGGCCGTTTCGCTACTTCACATATGCCAAGTTTGGTAATACATGACGTGAATAGACGACGAAAATAAATTAGATGACTAAACATGATAATCATGACATGTGTGTCATGCAAAACATGACGACATGCCACGGTCATAGGGCACTCACAGCCGTTTTGCTAGTTTTACATGTGTCAAATTTGGTATTACGTGACGTGAATAGACGACGAAAAGAAATGACACGTCCAAACATGACAAATATGACATGCGTGTTACGTACTACATGCTGCACTCATAGCCTTCTCGCAGCTGTTTCGCTAGGTTCACATATATCAAATTTGGATACGTGACGTTAATGAACGACTGAGCGCAAATGCCAAGCGCAAACAAGGTATTCATGACATGGAAGTCATGTACGGCATAATTTAAGTCGGCCTCGTAACGTTGTGCTGACATATCAACCTTCTTGATAAGTGCTTCGTCTAAGACTACGGTCAGATATGGTTGCGTGGCAGTTTTTTGTTTACTTTCATTTACGTGTGCCGTAAGCTTGGGGAGGCATGTCAGCCGTCACGCTGCATGGGCTCCGGCTCGCAGTATTGCTTTGATGACACTCAGTCTAAGCGTGTCTGAGCAGATTTGCTTTGACCATACAGACAGATTGATTGATATGTGGGGTTTAACATCCCAAAACCACCATATGATTATAAGAGACGCTGTAGTGAAGTGCTCCGGAAATTTCGACCCCCTGGGGTACTTTAACGTGCACCCAAATCTGAGCCCACGGGACTACAGCATTTTCGTCTCCATCAAAAATGCAGCCGCCGCCGCCGGGATTCTAACCCGTGCCGTTGGTTCAGTAGTCGCGTACCTTAGCCACTAGACCACCGCGGCGTGTTGACCATACAGACATTGCGGCGCCCGCATGGTAGACCACGTAGATCAGACGCGCCGTGGACTGCCGAGTGTTTCGAGTTCCCGTTAACTCTGTAAAAAGAAACTGACCCCCACCTGGGCAACAAAGGGGGGGGGGGGGGTTGATACGTTATTGTCTAATTGCCTCAATTATTGTCTCACGGCATTGGCAGTAGGCGCGCCAATGGGCTTCTTCAGAGACTCAGCACGGCGCGGTGACTCCTCACATCGGTTCAGCTGCGGCCCAGCCACATGCTGTGTTCACGCACGCTGTTTTAGGGCAGCGCGCGTTGCAAAAACGCGGAGGCCGCCGACAACCTTTCGTCCCAGTCAACTCTCGAAAGCGAGGAGGCTGGTGACACCTGAAAGCGGGGCTGATGTTGCGATGCTCGGGCGCCCGGTCGAAGATTTTGGTTCGTATTGTCGCATTGACATGTCTTCGACTGCTTCCGCGTTAATCCTCACAAATGAGCTCGTAAGTGGAGCCACGGGCGGTCAGCGAGTGGTTCCTCTTAGAGCACACAAGGGTGAGGCGGATGATTTCCCCGTCGCCTAGAAGTTGACGTATTACAGGGAAGCCGTCGTACGGCCGCAAACCCCAGTACGTGTAGCTCTAAGTGTAGATAATTATGCACTGCTGAGTTCATCCGCACCTCTATGATTTTTTTAGTTTTCATTTATTTACATTTTGGTTGTGTTATTTGGGGAGAAGGCATGAACCCGTACGTGCACGAAGGTGGCGTCCTAGTGGTGGGGTTTGGATTCACCAAATGTACTGTCCTATCAAAGGACTAACAGGCGATGATTCGCCGAGAGTTGTGCAAGGGTGGAGCACCGAGAAAATAAGAAGAGCCCCCGGAGCTCTGCCAAGCGCTCTGAAACGAGCTTGCGGTGTTAGGCTCCATCGGCTCTACCGAATTCCATAGGGTTGCCCTACAGAAGACTGTCTATTTCCAAAGTGTTTTTCTTTTTTTTTTGTAACTTTGATGTCCGTGCTTCTGTAACTTCTGTGCAGTCTCTAAATACAAGTCACCCTACTAGAACTTCTCAAGCGTTTTACTTCTTCAAGCGACCAGCAAGTCAATCGCTGCTATTTGCATAGCAGCAGCACGTTACTTCCTCCCACTTAGCTACACCACCTCGGGTGGTGCGTCTCGGGCGCCGAGTGGTGAGAGTTCGTTGCTACAACATCAAAAAGAGCCTGAATTTTACTCTGTGCATATCATCGATTCCCACTGTATGTAAGATCTACCAATTTTTTCATCAAAGAAAATGACTGAAATTGTGTCAGTCAGACGTCCGCTCTCTTGCTTGCCGTGGAACATGCGTTTTTTCAGTCAGACCTTTGAAGTGTTAGTCTAGCGCCCTCTGTAACCTGCCAGATGTCCCTTTCTTGATCTAGTAACAGCATATATATACTCTGTCTGTCATCAATTCTTCACTAAAGCTGTTAGTAGCACCTGCGGTGTCTCCTTCTATGTGTCCGTTTTGGGCTTCCACACTATACGCCATCAATGTTAGCAACCAATTTATAGTCCATGCCGATATCATAGTACACTGGGAGTGCAACGAAAACAAATAAGATAACTACAGTATAAAACATAATGTTGGGTAGGTTGGTATACAGCTATATTTTCAAGTTGTAGCGTACATAAATAGGAATGACAAAGACAAGATACGAACACGCTCTATTGACTTGTTTCTATTCTTCTCTTTTGTGCGCGCTGCGATTTGCACATGAATAGAAAGATAAACAAACCAACAATTGAGTGACGATTTCCCCACTAAGTGGGAGAGGGCTTATAACAAATACCGACACTATCTTAGTCCGGCGTAGCAATATATCGCAGACCCACGCGTCAGCACAATTCCCACCCTATTTATCATTACCGCAGGGCTCGACATCTTGGTTTTCGCGTTTTTTGGACATTTATTTCAAGCTACGCATTCATGAAACCATGTTTTACAGTTAAATTTCTTATGCTATGTTGTACAAAAATGTCAGTGTTAGTAATGAAATATTTTTGATTAGGTGTGATCTCGTCGAAAACTTCAAAAATGAAACTGCATGTTATGAAAAGTTTCAGCAGATCTCACGTACCCTGGGAATCGATATTATGTAAAACAAGCGGAGGGAAGGAGACAGTGGTGTCATTTTTTTTTGGGGGGGGGGGGGAGAACCTTGCGAAGTTTTTACAAAGAGATGTACAAGAATTGTACGCAAAGATATATGTTAAACTGTGGCGTATATTTTACATAACCATTTGTTTGCCGTAATGATGACAACAGCAAGTATCATCAGCCCCATAGCCAAGATAGTGTCCTAACCCCTCATCGCCCTTCCCCATTCTGATGAAAGGTCATCATTTGCGTAAACAAGTAATGAAAAATGGCATTTTTCTAAAATAGTTATGGTCTTAGGTATGTCATGGTCATGGTGTTAAGCAAATATTCAAGGTCTTAAGCCCCCTCCCAAAAATCTTGTCTTGCTATGTGCGTGGGTATTACCAAGACCATAAGCAATAAAGTTATGTGTAGCGCTTTAGCTTGCGAGGATGCAGCCCTCGCTGGTGCTACGCAGACAAACTTCCATGGACGGCACTTAAGTGTACAATCTACGTTATTCTAACGTGGCGCCTCTGTCATATGAGTAAATATCTGACATTTACAAAGTTAGATAGCCAGCACTGCAACCACAATTGACGTTTTATGAACATTACGCCGGTATGTGGTGTTTTTTAAAAGCAGTTGTGAGACTTAGCGGGATTTTAGGGGGAATAGCTGATTGTCACGCAGAATGCTTGGATTCGATTCCTGCTGGGACCCTTATTCTTTGTATTCCTCGGTTCAACGCTGTCAATAGCCCCGTTTTTTCAAGTTCTCACAAATAAAATATTGATGTCTGTTCTCGCCGGTCCTCGGTACATAAAAACTGCCAATCACCTGTTGTGAATACCCACATACCGCCGGCCGTGGTATACGGGTATGTATGTGCCACTAGGGTCTAGAGGAAATGATTTGATGACGTACTAGACGGGATTTTCGCTTTATTCAGGTCAAGATCATGGAGTTTTCTAAAATTAATTAGAGTGGACTCTGGTGCTGCGATCGTTCAGTGACCATGGGAATGACGAATAGTATACTGACTCGCCTAGTCTTCGTACTTGCGGGTGGCGAATCGCACCTGTGGCTTCGTTTATTGCTGTGTTTTGGTTTTGTTTAGAAAGAAAGAACGAACTATTTCGACCTTCGTGACCTCATTTGAAGTGGTAAGCCGGAAATATCAGGGTGGTAAAGCGCAACCGCTGAACATTTTCTTATTTTCGTTTCATGAGAAAACAGCTTCAAAGCACGCGAAGACCAACATAGATAGATAGATAGATAGATAGATAGATAGATAGATAGATAGATAGATAGATAGATAGATAGATAGATAGATAGATAGATAGATAGATAGATAGATAGATAGATAGATAGATAGATAGATAGATAGATAGATAGATAGATAGATAGATAGATAGATAGATAGATAGATAGATAGATAGATAGATAGATAGATAGATAGATAGATAGATAGATAGATAGATAGATAGATAGATAGATAGATAGATAGATAGATAGATAGATAGATAGATAGATAGATAGATAGATAGATAGATAGATAGATAGATAGATAGATAGATAGATAGATAGATAGATAGATAGATAGATAGATAGATAGATAGATAGATAGATAGATAGATAGATAGATAGATAGATAGATAGATAGATAGATAGATAGATAGATAGATAGATAGATAGATAGATAGATAGATAGATAGATAGATAGATAGATAGATAGATAGATAGATAGATAGATAGATAGATAGATACGCTAAACGTCGCCGAAGTTCGCTATGAAATGCTTCGCATTCAAAATGAAAGTGTACATTGTAAACACGGGCGTTATGAGTGCGCATTTTCATGAAAATGGCCCAAGTGGCATGAAGGTGAAATTTCGATATCTGTCAATATGGCTTAGTGTGTTATAGCTCGCTACACCAATGTTAAATCTTGAACATATCCACCACATGAAATCACAATGTCAACAGTGATATCACTCGTTCTTGTGTTTTCTTTTCCTTTCTATGATCGCACTGGCAGCATAGTGGGTGTTTCATAATTAATGTTAGCAATATTTAGATATGTTTATGTTAAAGACAGGACTGAAAGCCTGCTGTCCGTGGGGATGACCAAGTGGTAGAGAATGATACTTGGTAAGTAATTTCTAAATTCAGAAAATTTTAGTAACCTCTTTAGCAAATAAGGTTAGAGGGAATTGGGAAATTCAAGTGGCTTCACACCCTTTGTAGACGCAATATTGGATTTTGGAAAAATGTGGTTAAGGCACAGAGCTCTAGCATGACGCACATAGCACGCGAAATCAACGTTGGGTGCCACAATGGCCTCGCCCAAAGCGGCGACGTTGCTGCTTACGACACCCAGTAGCCGCCAGGCAGCACTCATCGGCTCCATCAATGTCACACCTTGGCCGTGATGAGACGGGAGGAACGCATCCTTCTATAACAACCATCCTCCCCCTCCCTTTATGTTTTCTTTATGTGTTGTACCCATCACATCTCCGGTTTCAGTGTGTTTAGCCGCACGTAATACTGGCTCTCTCTGGAAGGCGGCATCGAGCCACTTTGTCAGAAGTATTCTCTTTTCGAAAGGGAAACATGACGCTATCTCCTGAAGTGCATAACAGAGCATATTTCAACGGCATACCCTCGCATGCTTTCTCTGGAACCCACATCACACCACACATAGGGTGCATCGAGATATTACTGCACTAGGGATTTAAGTGAAACGCGACTGTGACCAAAAGAGCGAAAATTAGCGTGACTGTGAACCTATCATTATTGTCACGGTAAAATTTCTTGTTACTCAGCACCATGATTGTGTGACAGTCCAATTTCTAGTGAAGTTGCCTTCAATACATCCCATGACGTAGCGTGCTGCGGCTGGGACAGAGGAGAGGGACACTCCCATACTGCTCTTCGTTGCTGTCATGATGTGCGGCACTATTTAAAATGATGATTTCTAACCATCTAACCCAGCAATGTCGCTTCAGTACATCGCTCTCAAGCATGCAGACGCTTAAGTAGAAGTTGTCTTGGACGAATCGGGTAGGGGGGGGTGGGGGGGGGCTCCTGTGTGTGAAATGAGCTTCTTTCGCTCTGTGTGTCATAGAGGAAAAAAATTCCGAAGATGGGCGCGTGGGTATTACCACTGCGAAAATGGGGGTAAGACTTTTGTAAACCTTTGCAAGGGCTAATATATCACGTTGGCTCATATATTCGGTTTGTTTACTTACGATGCTTTAAAAGAAATACAGCTCAAAGAACCTGAACGTAAAGCATTAGAATGCAGAATTAGCAGCTAGTAAACTGTTCGCTTCGTTTTCTCTCTCTCTCTCTCTCTCTCTTCAGCGTACAAAATATTCATTCTGCAATTAACTTCAGTGGTCTTACCCAAAAGTTAAAAAGTTATGTTTCCTTGAGTTGCTTCAATTTAACACTTTGCATTGAAATCCAACAAAATGTACTCAAAATGGTCCAGCTGTTGTCATGGTTTTGCAACTTAGAATTTTAAAATTTTATGTTTCAGCCTTTTACATCGCTAACCTATATACGCATTTTTATGTACGCTAACAAAGAAATTAGAATTCACCTCGAACATAAAGTCCTCTGAAGCAACAGACCCTTGAATGTTCTGTGTGTTAGAGTACAGAACATTCGCTCAGTTGAGCAATGTTCAAGATTACTTACTCTGAATGCTTGATCGTGGGTTCCGAGATCAATGTCCGTGCGTTCCCAGATATCTTGTCCTGTCACTGGCAGTGTTAACACATGCGCGTTCCCACCGGTTCCCAGGTTCGTCTGGCGGTACACATCCAGTGTGATACCTCGTTCGGGCAGGTTATACCAGAACCGCACCTTCAATAGTAAACGTGTAACATCAGCGAACTTTCATAGTATTATAAATGTTAGGCCGATTTGAGCGGCTGAGAATATTCAACACGTAATGCAACCAATTTCATGTACAGAATGTAACAAACAATCAACTTAAAAAAATCATGCAGGTGCTAATCAAGACGCTACCACTGCACTGGTGTAAACAACTTTCTGGTTTGTTTGTTTTTTGTTAGCAAAGAAAACACCTACATAGGATACCACGATTAAGTAATTATTATTTTTGGGGCTTAACGTTCCAACACCTTGATGTAGTTATGAACCGTGCCATAGTGGAGGGCTATTGAAAACCACGCTAAGCTTCCTATATGACTCTATTGAGTTTCCGTTAGATGAACTATGAGGAGTTGTTTTATAGCCAAACCGCTTTATCCATTGTCATGCACCCCTAAAGTAATGTTATGGTTTGGCAAATGATCTGAATGTTTCCGTAAAAAAAGAACCTAGCTAGTTCACTTCTATTAGTAGATGCTCGCAATTTATAGCTTGCTTCAAAGACACCTACATTATTACACTTGTATAGGAGTATTATAGCATTTTGGTCCAGGGTAAGCGTGAATCTCTAGTCATTAGCTGCTTTTTTTTTTCTTATCGTGGTATCTAAGATTTCAAGAGACGAACGTTCTTGTGTTTTCTCCCGTTATCTCCAGTGTTCCTGCAGCACTAGGGCCGTGACGTGTCCGAGCTTGTTGAACGTCTAAACAGATGGTCCTAATGTTGTGGCATAAGCAGTGGCTCGTATGTGGTCTACCTTCCCGTTGATGAGCAGTTATTGCGCAAACAACAATTAGTGATTGTTTTTCATTATTTCGATGTTACTTTGTGTGTGTGTGTGTGTGTCTTAGTGTGTTAACATACTACGGAACTATGACATATTATGACATACGAAGTTATGTAACCAGTAAAATGACAACCAATGTCGACGTAAAACAGACGGCTGCACATGTTGACTGATTACGACGTTGACTGAAATTCCGTAGTGTTGTTGAATATTATCAATAGCAGATGAAATACATCGCAATGGAGGGCTTCGACGCATTACGTTTACCTGAATGGTATTTCTTAGTGTGCATTTACACCTAGGAAAAGAGGTTTTATTGCGACAGAGTTAAAGAGCTCATTTTTGCAGCAATTCCCGCGTCAGTGTTGGAATCGGCGTCATTAATTGTGAGCAAAAAATTATCATCTTGTACGTGATCGAAAAATTGAGAATGATGCATAAAGAATTCTAATAAAAATTAAGGATTTCAGTGCAGCTTGAATCTGGGTCGTTTGCGTGGCAAGCAAGTGTTCTACCACAGATCCATGCCTCTGTTTGTAAATGCAGCGAAAATAACTTCCTCTGTTTTATAATACAGTGAAAGCAAATGGCATGCTTTTCAAACACACGTGTCTTCTATGCATGATCCACATTGCAGTAATAAGGCGTGGTACGTAGTGTAAATTGCGATGTAGTGTCAGAACATGCGATTATCATGAATTACTGCTTTAAATCAGGTCACCTACTACAAAAGGCACACACGTTGCTACGTCTTGTTCGCCATGGATGCAGAACAAGTTCTAAAATATTTCACGTGCTCGACGGCCCGTAAAGCATGCTACCCATTACACAGAATAAAGCCACATATGAAAGCTTCACTGACTCAAGCTATTTCAACTGAGTACGCACTAGGGACAGGTTATCGCTATCGCGTTCAACTCTAAAACGCGAAGCTTAAGGATCGCCCCCAACTTTTTTATACTTTTTCATTTTTATTGCCCATTCATGTTTTGCTCCTATGAAACGTCAGTTGATTCAGCCGAAAATCAAACCCGCGGCCTATTTTACAGCCTTGTCATATCTCGTTGAACCACCGCGGCGAATAGCCCACATTATTGTACAATTACGGCTTTTGAACTCACTAAAATTACTGTGATGCGAGCATATACGGTAAATCCGTACAAAACAAATAACTTTGTCATTACCCAGCGTTGCTTAGAACTAGGTGCACATTAAATAACCTCTGGTTGTTGAAATCTACGGAGCTCTCCACTACCGCGTCTCTCTTAATCATAGCGTTGTTTTGTGACTTTAAACTGCAATGATATTATTTTTATTATTATTATTATTATTATTATTATTATTATTATTATTATTATTATTATTATTATTATTATTATTATTATTATTATTATTATTATTATTATTATTATTATTATTATTATTATTATTAGCCCAGCGTCAAGATAACACTGACAGGCTTAGTGCACAATCTTAAGCATTTAGCGGGGAATGTAGAACATTTTTATGGTGTGCTTAACTAATTCTTCGGATAAAATGTGCCAGTCGTTATGGACGCAGCATGCTAGTTCGAAGCGCTAAAAATGAAAAAAACATCAGACATAACGATGCCCTTCGTTGCTTGCGTTCTCTATTTTTATGTTTAATCGCTTTGTTTTTTGCCGTCTAAAACAGTATTGCTTGAGGCAGTCATAAAATAGGTTGTGTATCGCTCCGGAAAGCCATCGTTACGTATGTCAAACGCAGATACTACAGATCGCTACAGGTCAATAACCAACGCAAGTATGCTTACGTGACAGGTCAGTTTGGGGTTTGTGCTGATGACGTAGGATGCCAAGCGTGCACAACTGGTTTCCTTCATTGGTTGTTCCCATGGATTGTGCACAGCTATATAGGCACCTGTGGAACGGCATTTCATTATATTGCTTTATTACTACAGCAAAAAAATGACATTACGGTACCTAACTAGGAGTCAGTATGGTTAAATATAAAATCATTTGTATATGAGTAAGATTTTCATTCAAATTAAAGCGCTACATCACAAATTCAAAAGCTACGTTTGGAATATAAAACATCATATAACTAACGGCTGCGAACAAATTTGGGCCACACGACATTGTGCAATACGCGCAGTGTTCGTTCTCATCACACCGCTTTCACTGGCCAACGTGATGCCTACGAGACAGATGACTGAACATGAGGCTTTGTTTTATTAGCAAGAAACCCTGAAGCTGAGAAACAGGTTTGGGTAGTATTTTTTTTTTTTTGCACCCAATGGCTTCAGAGAGTTCGTAGCGTTGAACAATCTGTTTCACACGCGACATAAGCTTCAATAATAATGGAGCAGGAATATAAGAGTGTATAACGAGGGACAGTGTCACAACGTTTCTCATCAAACAAGAGTGATTACTCGTCCACACGCGCATCAATTTGTCCTAATATTTTGCAAGCGATACACCTCGTCTCTTTTTACAGAATCTCATTGCTAATGAGTTCTATTATGCATGCTGGCTGATGACAGCATAGTGGTGTTCGGTTCAGTGGGCATTACTTGAAATTGAAGAAAAGAGAATATTTCTAAGAAAGTAGGTAGTTTCATTGAAGTACTCGAAGTTGTATGTCTGGCAGCTATATCCTAAATCTTCTTTCCAACTGAAAATTCCCACAACTGCCACATTAGTCGTTATTTTGTGTCGTTGGCATAGACCCAGGTGTATCACAAAAATAGATGCGAGGCCAATGCTTTGAATGCAAGGATCACATCATTTCTTACGCCACACCGGTGTATTGTGCTTCGAGTTCGATGAGTAACATGGCTCGAAATACAGTGCCTAGACAGTAACCGAAGAGGAAAGAAAAATATGATTGATAAGTAGGGTTTAACGTCCCAAAACCACCATATATATATGACAGACGCCGTAGTGGAAGGCTCCAAAAATTGCGACCACCTGGGGTTCTTTAACATGCACCCAAATCTAAGCACAGGGGCCTACAGCATTTCCGCCTCCATCTGAAATGCAACCGCCGCAGCCGGGAAGAAAAATAGGCTTTTGAAAGAAAAATAGGCTTTTGAAATATATTCGGAACGCTTGGAGTCGTTACCAATGATCTTGCTCCATATACTGTTTAATAGCTCGGAGAACCAAATCGAGCCGGTACATCAGGCGCGCGAATTCGAGCGCTTGATGAGTATTTTGGGTCGGGCCCTGTCTACAATGCCACTTAATGACCGAATACTCCCCCTTATTAGTTCAACCTCATGCTGTAGTCCAATTATTCTGAGCTGAAATACCAGGAATTTATTGAAGCAGTCTTTGTTTATTAAACGGACTACTTCATTGTCAGCTAAATAGAGATATTGTTTTATAATAAAGTGTACATTTTACTCTTTCCCCGTTTCCCTTTGTGCGTTTTGATTCTATGCTAAGATTTATTCTTCTTTTCTATTTTTTCTTCATGCGAAAAGAGGGCAAGAGGTATGGAATAACTACGATAAAGAAAAATAATTGAATCTCCACTAGCCGCTATGCTCGTCAACTACACCCACACAGCAGTAAATAAAAAAAATGTCGTGTACTAATTGGCGAATATACCCATAAGTACCATGAGGCAGTTATTCAGGGCATGTACAGCAATGTTGAAAAATTTTAAAAGAGTCTGCTACACGTGAATGCTGATGCGGCGTGAGAAAATTATGTTACCAGTGGGTTATCGTAAATACCACACTTTTGCTGGTGAGAAATGTGGCTTTCCTCTATCGCAGCCTAGAATAAATTGGCTTCTCCTATACAGACGTTGGAAAAATGAATAAAGGCCGTCCGTGGGGTAAAATGCGACAAAAGTTGATGTCTGCTTTTCATATGTCGTATATGCAGTGCGCTGGTGCTAAGGGCAAATAAGTGAAAGAAAGGGACGAGTGGAAAAGTACCGCGAGCACGGTAATATCGGTGGGAGAGAGAAAAACAGTAACATATTGAGCGAATGAAAAATTAAAAAAGATAATTTATTAACACATAGAGGTGATCTTTTGTGAAGCCCAGTGTGACCAGACAGGTGCGACAGAGATTGGGAGGCTTTAGGTTTGGCGCTTGCCGCACAAAACAAACCATCGAGTCAAGTTGGAAGCGAAATCGTTTGAATTCAAGTAAAATGATTTTGATTTCATTGTTTCAATATTCCCAGCAATACTTTACCCACGTTTCCAGAAGAGTCGCCTCGTCATCGATAATGGATGATAAAACAAACATGTAACAAAAAAACAATGAACTATTTACTGTGAAAAGGTCGATGACCAGCGAAACTGTATAGTGTACCACATGGAAGTGACATGTCCGTAGCACGTTTTGCGAAGGCTTCATTGCAATCTACTATGTGAAAATCTAACTTACAAAAAATGAGCTAGCACTGATACTCTTGAGTGAGCTTCCTTTTTAAATGTCCCTGCACGGTTGAGAAGACGTTTTTTTCCGGGGAAGTATAAGCCGTCTAGAATATGACAACCTGAAGCCTTTTTTAATCCTTTATTGTTGCTTCGAGCTGCATTTTGGATGGAGGCAAAAATTCTGTAGGCCCGTGTGCTTAGATTTAGGTGCACGTTAAGGAATACCAGGTGGTCAAAATTTTCGGAGCCCTCCACTACGGCGTCTCTCATAATCATAAGGTGGTTTAGGAATGTTAAACCCCACAAATCAATATTGTTACCTCGAGGTGTTCGAGCATTCTAGAAGAGTGCTAACATGGCAGCTGCTGGTTTGATTTCATCGTCGTCCTGTGAGAATGGCTACAGCCATCTGAGGGAGCCTGAGGAAACGACTTTGAACTCGTTGAAACCACAAAATTCCGGATCTTAGCCATATAAAAAAACGCTGTAATAAAATAATTTACGGTTGCAACACGTTTATGCACGACCGTCAGAGACCAAGCTCATGCCTGGAGACTAATTTCTATATTTCTACATAGTCATCAACCATCAGCGTTTCTTCGCCTTCTCGAAGTAAAGTGTACATAGGGCGCGACTTTTCATTTATATACAGTTACCCAGTTACAGCAAGCAACACTTCAAGATTCCTAAGCTGCTCTTCGCTCTCACGTGCCTACGGAGTTCACAGAAGGCACCGTACTGGAGAATCACTTTTTCAGGCAACTCCTAATCCTGGAAGCAACAAAGGAGCGCTGTCTACGTACACGGACTACTTCGTTGGAAACGCAGGGCCGTTCAGCAGTTAGGTAGAAAAGTATTCACGCTAACTAGGTCAGTTATTGGGTTTGCTGGCATATGCAGTGCAATGTTATGTCAAAGATCGAATGTTAACTGTAAAAATTATGCGATCATACTAATATTATGCACAAGGCCTTAACCTAATCTGGAGTCTTCAAGAAAAAAATCAAGGATTTTAAGTTTACATCGACATGTTTCGATGCGAAAAGACAACGTCTTCACACATTGAAAGGCAACATTTGTCTATAACAGGGCAAAGTTAATGTTTGTAATAGCTACGTAAAAGTAGCCTTCGATGATATTTCATTAGGTTTAAGAAATGAAAAAAATTAATTTGGTATGTCGCGTCGTGGAGGCACGTCATCAAGGTAATGTATTTCAGAGCCCTTTCAAGCCAAATGCGAAAATCAGCATGCCGGTAAATAAAGAGCATGGACCATCAGCAGTAGTTGTCTCAGTACCAACCACCACAAAAACGTTTCTGAGCCGTACGAACTCGAAATAAAAGGCACCTGGAAGCGCAACCTAGAATTATACATGGCACATTAGCGTTCATTCATGTTTGAAAGATAGCACAATAGCCTGCAATGAATGAAGGAAATACGCAGCTGTGATTCCAGTCATAGCAACCCTCAATATGGGGAAAGCTGCAGGCAGTAATTCAGTAAGCTGATTTGGCATGAGCTTGTTAAATTGAGTTTGTTCGTTAACTTCAGCAGCTTAAATATATATACGGAAAAATTACGAGCATTCCTATTAAAAATTCTACGTCTTACTCAAAGATGGAGGCCACACTAGCAAAGCTTTACACTCGTAAGTGTTCTTCGCTGTTTAGCATTATGATTGGCTGAGCAGTTCTCTTAGGAGTAATTAAGTTAGATTCTTTTTAAATACAGGACCAGAACATTCACTGCAATCTTTTTGATGGGGCAGGTTTGTATGTGTTCAATTCAAAACATGAGTAGATGATGAGAGCAACAACGTATACTTCTTAGAACTTGTTGTTGGGCTAGTTGGTACTTCGCGATCACGTAAGTAAATTTAGCGAAGTTTGGAAATCCCACAAATATTTACACATTCACACTCCTCCACACGAAAAGTGCAGTGTGTGCTAATTGTGTGGATGAGTGTGTAAATGTGGAAGTGTTTTACGATTTTCAAGTTGCGTTAAATTTACTCACAACATGGCAGCGTATACGAAGCTAGAATCAATTGGACGGCTACCTGATTGTCACGAAATACTACCTATGCATTTGAAAATTTTCGAGTAACTGATTCAAGCGCAGAGTAGCAGCTGGTGATCTAACGTGAGCCAACTGAATTTCCAGTATTATGTACGCATGCTTCCAGAGCCATGAAAAGCTGTTCATTGAAGGTGTTTCACAAAAATAAACCGCGGCATTCTCCATATTTCCGAGTTACCTAGCGATTGCTAATAAGTGTCTAAGACGGGTTTGCCATATAAAATTTACCTATTGTTTATTCAGCTTTGTTTGCCCATTTTTATCCTATTCATTTATGCGGACTGCATACGACCGCTATTTATTACTCCTTCATAATAAACAGGGATATGAAAAGCGCATATAAACAAAATAAGTGGACCTCAGCAAGTCACGTATTGTGTAGGGCCGAGAAATGGTGGCCAGTAAGAGCAACAGAGGGGATACCAAGGAAATGGGGAAAAAAGAGAAAAAGCCTAGGCCGGCAGTGACAGTGACATAACGAAGAACTTGAAGAAGTTTGCAGAGATCAAATGGAATCATCCCGAGAAAGATGGGACAAATTGGAGATCTGCAGGAGAGGCTTTTGCCCAGCAGTGGGCACTAAAGAATATGCTGAAAATTGTACTGTGCGTGGTGGTGAAGGTGAGGATGATACCGAGACAATTAATTTTATCTGTGAGTAACTACTGACAGAAATGCAATAGAGTGACAACATTAAGTGTCCCTGCTAAAGAACGCCCTTGAATGCTGCGGGGTAACTTATGAATAAACAATAAAAACTTCATTCGCCACGTTAAGCAGTTACATGGAGCATCTGCTCCAAGGAAAGCGTCTCCCAAACCTTGGCCGCTCGATGTGGAGTGGTCGGTCAGGGGTAACTTGCTCTCCGCCTCACGAGCGATCCTTCTCGACCACAGAAGGCGGGCCTCTGGAGTCACGTCGTTTGTCCAATCTTCACAGTGAACATCTTCAAAAGAACACCTACTCCTGACTGAAGAGCACGCCACGCTTGTCTCGTCGCTACCATCCTCACAGTCCCATGCTTGGTCGCAAAGCCGACTTCTTTCTATGCACCAGCTGCCCTTGATGCATCTGCAACCAAAACTAACATGTAAAGTTTGGGAAAACTTCATGCTCTGGCCCAATTCAGCAACACAATGAATGTTTATGTTGTCAGAGATAATCAAATGCGATGAGCCACTCGCAGTCGTCGTGTTGGTTTCTGCCTATGCGTTCGTCTTTGAGTTTTTTTTCTAGCTTCTGTTAATTGGCTTTCGTCCGAATACACAATTAAAAATTAACTTTTCAAGTTACTTCACATAAAAAACCCCTGTGAGGAGAATGTAAAAAATACTTTCATTTGTATACTATGGTTAGGGGCGGGAGTATCCCGAGACTGTCACTTTCTCTTTGTACGTCAGTAAAGTGAATCTCCTCATGTTGATTGTCATGGAAACCACATTTATTTGCCCAAACACGGATAATATTTACTGACATGCATAATGCCACTACATAAAAAAATTGTATGTCAACCTGCGCTATTCTCAGTGCATTTCACGGATGCCTTTCAGCTGCGACTTCGAACCATTTTAAACCAAATTAGTGTAAACGTTCACGAAAGCTTCCTTTAGAAACGTTATTACTTCTTTTATTTGCAGTTTGCAAGAATATGTTTTTTTATTTGGGATGAAAGTTTTCACGTCTTCCGAATAGTTATTAGATTAATTTGCAATATTGCAACTTCACGTGCTGCGTAGTCGTCGAAGGTATTAAAATGCAATGAACGCATCAGTCTACTTGAATTACAGTTTCTCCATAACATGTCAATAATTCTTGTCCATGACTTGTTCACTGCGATCTCTGACTTTTGTACAATATAGTACAGTCCCGTGTTCAGCTGTCACGCTTCTATACAATCCCAGTAAATATCTTAGCCAGAAATGGTACAGATTTTGTTTGTTGTGTTATGGAGTTGATTTTTAACCCAGTTTATAGTAAGTGAGCGGAAGAAAATGGGGCATGCAGAATTAAGCCTTTGTTAAACGGCCAAGCTTTCCCAAAACCCCCCTCGATGCACTTTACAGACAAATGAAAGAAAAAGAGTGACAATGAGACTATTAGTGAGATTATTTCGATCACCTGAACAAATCTTCGGGACAACTAGAACCTCGCTGTGTTGGCGGCTCACATTCAACAAAGTTAAGGTCGTCGAGAGCTTGAACAAGCTTCTCGCTACTGCCCCTCCAAGCCCGCCATGCAAGGTGAGCGCCCCGAATGATTCCAACTGGTATCTTCACTTGCATCCACTCCCTCGGGCGCGTGCCTGTGTGAAGAAGCATTGAAGTTCTTAAGTCAATGCGAGTGAATAACTTTCTGAGCTGCCTTTTCTTTAACCGACGAACATATTATGTCAACGCCGCACAAACGAAAATGCTGAATGCGACACTTAGACTTAATGTGTCTTTATAAGTGCAATACAACCATGAAATATTTATAGAGGTGGTTTTAATATCAGTTTCTCTATGCCATGTCCACTAACACAATGTACTTCTTATATAAAAATTGTATATCCGCTTTTAAAATAGTACGTCAGCTTACTCGATGTTATAAGTACAACAGCCGGAAGAAGTCTGTACGGGACCGAATGCATGAAATATTGCAACTTCTCTATGAAATCGTTTTAGGATCTCTGACACAAGCAATATTATTTCGTACGTGGACTTTTCCCAGAGTTCTAGAGTACATGGCAGTGTGCTTACGGAAAGCGGTCCAGAGAGGCCTTTCGTGGACACCTAGGTTAGATGCGTAGAGCATCAGCTGCAAGAGACAGCTGTCGGAGCAGTAGTACCATGCCTGGAGCCGGCAGGAGCCCGCCGTGTACGACAGTGGTTGTGGGGAGTACAACAAGCTGGCGTCTGTCATTCCGCCGTACGCCGAATTAGCGAGAGCGTACCAACCCTGCTGTGTTCCTTCCGAATGATCGATTCGAGGCCGCATGGCGACGTTTGCCTGGTGGTAAAAACCATGAAGCATCGTGAGAGTTAGTATTCTTTCAGTCGGTGAATCCAGCTCTCATTCGCTACAAAGAATTCAAGTTAAGAAAACTGACACTGTTTTTTTTTTCTTTTCCCGGTGTCACAATCGCTGCTGCTGTGGGATAGAAACGTTCCAAATTGTTTGTTGCTGTGTGGTTTCACGGCTACAATTAACGCCTGGTGTACTGTGTTGTAAGAAAGGAAAGCACTAATTACTACACAAACTCTGTCAAAGTGTTCGCGAAGTACGAATAAGCCTCCGACGGACATTTAATTTATCACCTTGTGTGCCATAAATTAGTATTATGTAAGAAACAATATAGCGATATAAATTTGAAAGTTATTAGGCCTTTCTTGCATTGTATTTTTTGTTTTTTTGTTTTTTTTCTTATTTTTTTTATTTAGTAGAAGGAAAGTCTGCAATCTTGGATGTAATGGTCCATATTATGTGGCAGCCATACCATTCTAGCTACACACAGTGTAGTATTTATGATACATCAAGGGCCTGACGTGTTAACAATGGAAGTAAGCAACTATGTTAATTGACCAAAACAATCAAATAGACTGTAATAATTTACATGGTAATCATCAATAAGCCACAGCGTTCTACCTAGACAAAACCAAACATTTTCTAACCTGCGTGAGTGTTGTTTTGACATACGCAGTATTTGAACGTGCCATGTGTGAAGGCGCTACATGTTACCTGCTACTGATTATTCCATACCGCGAGAAACAATTAATAAGAAAACTGAAGGCGACTCATGAAATATGAGTTCTCTTACCTTGTCAGATTTATCATTGGCCTGAATGACTTTCCACGTGAATTCGTCATCAAAGAAATAGGAAGTGAACCGTCGAGAGGCAGCAGCCGGAATCACGAGTGAGGCATTGTTTGTGACGGCCCACCCGCAAAGATTAGCCTTCTCGAAGTCACAGCTTGGTTGTACTGAAACAGTTGGAACAGTCATAAGGACAGCATTTGCATGCCGCAGTAAATGTCACGTCATATTTACAAAACCGATTTCACCTTCATAGTGAATCAAAATAGCTCGGGAGATAAAATACAAAAAAATGCAAAATACTGAGCGAAATGCCAATGGACAAATGAATCTGGAGATAATAAGTTTGAACTACACTAGATATCCGTCTCTGTCAAAACTACCTAACGTTTATCCTGCTTAAAATATAGAAATCGCACTAAGCCTTGACAGTGCAGTACAGGTCCGTTTATGCACTAAGATATAAGTAATACCATAGTTGAAAAACATGTAGCCTGAAGTTTCTGCACATTTATTGATGAGTATCAAATAATGTGCTCCTGGCAACATCATTTTCATTCTAATGATGATACTTCGTCCAAAGTGTTAACGTAAACTCACATGTTTATTTACCTTTTTCAAAATAATATACTTCTCTAGGTAATTTCTATTTGGCGAGAATGCACTTCATAAACTGTAGAATTACGGTTTGAGTGGTATGTTTTTTATATATTTTCTACGCATACATAATAACTAATGAGTACAAGTAGCCGCTATGAATAATATTACATGACCACCCACGAATGTGCGCACTCAACGATGCGTCCTTAGATATTTATCTCAAATCAAATAAAAAATTGAAAAATATTTTATTACAACCAAAGGTCTGAAAAATATGGGGGTGGCATAACACAAGAAGGTCCTTCAGTACATAGCTGAAAGGGGTGAACCTGTTAGAAAGTTACATGTTGATAACTAGAAAAAAATAGCATCATATCGCATATTACATATTACCACCTTGCAATGTCTATTAATTTCAACTAATTAAGTTATACTGTGCACCGTTGGCACTTGCGTTGACGTAACAGCAAGAGCTAGTGATTTACAATTTAAAGCAAACCATGATTTAAAAAAGCCTGTAAATGATTTATAATGAACCAATTAACTGATATTTAACGTTACCAAATATGGTACATGCACTCAATGAAATCATGTATCCTAAATTGCTAGAAGTAACAAAATGGATATCCCATCAGGTGAAGTTGGCTCGTTCAAGTATCTACGCGTGATACTTGGTAGCAACTTTCTGTGGAAAAAAAAATTAGGACTCTTTGCACAAACCTCACATCAAGATGCTATGCACTCTCGCAGAAGTACGTCATCATATTGATACTATGCCCATTATTTTAATTTTGCACTTATTGATAATCATGCCACATATTTTAATGAATTGTTCAGTACGATTTGAAACTCATACAAATCTGTCTGCCAGCAAATAAACGATTCTTAAGAAAATCCGCGTTTGATATACAATTAATTTACTGGGGCTTAGTTCAGTGGAGTTAATGTTTTGCCAGCTGATACGCGATTTTTAAATTGCTACATGCACTTTTAAGGCTGTAACACCCTGCCATTTCATTTTTGTATTTATTTTACTTATCTCATGCAGCCACAAATCTAACCTGTGTACATTGTAATCCTCCCCTCACTTCGACTACTTCCGCCCACTGTATGCTGGGATTTCTGAGACTAAAATTTTGAATAATGTAGGAGGAAAAATAAAATGAGCAATATTTTTTTTTACCCTTACTTTTAAAAAAATATTCCCTTTGTATGCATAAAACTTTCTGATGTAATGCGTGAAACGTTTTGCTTTCAATTTGTGTTTTCAGACTTTACAAGTCCTCAGAACTTTCCACTGCTATTTTCTCCAAGTGGCGCTTCCAAGTGTTTGAATACAAATCACCAGTAACACTCTACATTTTCTGTCCACTTTGTTTAGTTACACCTGGTGCGTTCAAGCAAACTACGTGGTAATACGAAAATAATATCTGTGCATGTGATGTATATATTATTTGTTATGTGTACTCGAAATTACTTATTTTTCTGCGGGAAACTCAAGTGACATCCGCTATGAATACAATCAGCTGTAGTAACTCATTATAGCTAGTCTGTAAATAAACAAAATCCGGCCGATCCCACGTATACCTTGGGAATCAATGTTATGCGAAGCATGCGGATGGAAGGTGAATGTGTTTTAGTTTTGTTAATAAGTGAAACATTACGAAGTGGCGCTAAAGATATCGACAAATGCACACACAGACACATGTTAAAACGCCGCATATGTTTTATATCACCACTTGTTTACAATTGCGTAACGATGCCAACAGCATAATGGGTAATAGCAATCGACACCAGAAGTGGTAAAGTGATATGAAAAGCTGGTGCTCGTGAAGGTGGTAGCCCTACACTCTAAGCCGATGAGGACTAAAGTGGGGTATGCCATTGTTCCTTGAGGGACTAAATGATCTGCCACATATTTTGAACCAATTTTAGAATAACTGCGGGAGCAACTGCAACAATTCAACTGTTACCCCATAGCACTTACTCCACTTAGTTTAAATGTTGGTGCAAGTAGAATTATCCAGTGGGACTAAAAGTTGAACCGCCTGGACGATTGGAGAAAAATGGCGACCCCGCACTTGCAGAGTATGTTTTATGTTTATTCCAATTTAATTAGCACTGAAGAAGCATTATATTGGTCATGAAGCACACACTTACATGTATACATAATCACTATGTCAAAGTAAAAACCGCAAACACTGGCCGCCCGCCCTGTAGTACAAAAATGAATTATTGTATATATATATATATATATATATATATACAATATATATATATATATATATATATATATATATAGCACAGTATCTTGACCTCCCATGTAGTGCCGGTGGGAGACTTCTCTTCGGCGAAAAAAACAATAAACATTTACAGCATAGTTGTGAAAACCCATGGCGGCTAATTTGTAGCACCTAAGCGCACCAACCATTTCATATAAATCTATCTAACCTTCGACATCCCTCCAGTCAGAGAATACGAATTATTAGCCGGCATTCGATCGTGTCGACCCAACCAGCGTTGCTAGTGCTGGGGCAACAGTCCGCAAACAGAAACATACCAGCGGCGCTTATACAGAAAAGCCTCCGAAGCGTTCAGGTGCCCCGCCGACGCTACCGTGTCTGCTTGCCGACGGCGTAGCTAGGCTTATGTATACAAGGAGTGCGGTTAAACGACCGCCGGCGACCGCAACATGCGTCTCGTGTGGAATTTTCGTCATCGTTATTTCAGACACGAATGAACAATGAGTTGGTGTCCATTGTTCGCGGTGTATTACGAAGTAATATAGATATACTATGCATACTTACAGCGACGAGATCACTCGCAGGCCCTGCTCCCTCATCGTGCTCGTAAGTCGCTCGCTGTGCAACGCCCGTCACACAATTCATATCCGCGCTCACCTCCCCGCTTGATGTTTCAAAACAATTGTCGCATGGAGACAAAGACACACCTTTGACAGGGCTTCAATGCATGAGACATTATTTTCTAAAAAAAAAATTGCATTCGACGTTTACTTTGCGTGACCCGAAGGAAAGGTGTTTGAGGTCTGAAAAGGGTACGCTGAAGAATGTATTCGAGATAGGTAAATTATTAAGTTCTGCGAACTGCACTAATAACTCCCCTTTGGCATTTCTAGAGTCTATGCCATATAATCCCCCTGCATGGTCTCCGACCTGTTTCTTGCCTGCTTCGGCATGAAAGTCACCCATCAGTATAGTGGACTCTGCCTTTATTAATTGCTCACTCTACGTTTTCGTAAGCGTTCAACCAAATGATCAACATGGCTCAATGTAGGTGGGTAGGCCTGTACCACCTTCGTCTTGTACATTTTGTTTAACTTATTTACGCTACTTAAGAACTTCTTCCTCATGCTATATTGTTGTTCTTTGTGGCCAGAAATATCCTTATTTTTAAAGAACCCCATCCTTAGGTCTTTTCTGTCAAATTATAAATGTTAGCATAGCTCTTGTCTGTCCTTCAGCACTTTATAAGCTTCATGAGTCCTCCTAACTTAGCTTAGCCCTACTACATCCTATTTAACGCCTTTTAGTTCCACAAATAGCATAGCTAGACCAGTCTCACTAAATACGCTGAACGTAGCCAAGTTGATTCCAATGGCGGCCTGTCCGGACGCAGAGATTCTTAGCACCCTCCGCTGCATCACAGGTCTCATTACCGCCTCGGAAAGTTTCTTCGCAGCCACAGGGGATCGAGAGCCGAGGGTCAATTGTCAAGTTCATATGAGAGGTGGTGGCCAAGTACTGTACCAGAGTAGCCAATCCTGGTCTGGTGAGGGAGTGTATTACCGACAGGTGGTCGTCAGTGAGGCCGCACCCCGAACCCATTTTTTTTTCTTTTTTACCAATTTATTCATCACGCCTTTGAAATAAATATACGATTGGGGATGGTCCAGCATCGACATTTGAACTGAAGTCTGTCGCTGCAAGCTAGGTTGTTGCGCATTCTCTAAGCAGTTGGTTCTGATGCACTTTCTTAGCGCTATCGAACACCACCAGGCCGTCCATCAGCTCTCAACTCCACATGACTTGCAGCTCACCTGACCTTTTTAACTGTTTCAAACTCACTATTTGCATTAAAAAACGGCATAGCTTCAAACCAATGACCTCGCGAACTTAGGCTGTCTTGGGGCTCCAGGTGACCTTGCTTCACACGTGTTTATTTTCTCCTAACGTCTTCATGTCTTCCTCAACTTCGACATTCTTGGCTTCAATGTGTCCGCAATTTCAAAAATTTCAACGTTTACATCTAACAAATAGCGTCTTCGCTACCAATTAATTACCCAAAATAGTAAACCGTTGCAAGCGCGGCTCCCTTCCGACACCACCGACGTCAGTTCAACTCCCCCGCCAAATTCAAGCTCCGCATGCATACTATGCTTCACACTCTGGAAATGAAAAGCTCTTTCGTGCTTAACTTCGCACAACTTTGTCTTTATCCTGACTCAGATGATACGCACAACCACATATACCAGCACACAAAGCCCACCTTAGTGCTCAGGATGACCTTACTTCTCACGCGTTTATTTTCTCCCACCTTCTTCCTGTCT